TGTGACTGGTGGGACATTTTACTCCAGAATGTGATCATTTGTGAATTATAACTATGTCATCGGAACAAAGATATTTTTTAACATAGATGAATAACTAATGTATAAAATTGCTTTAAAAAATATGAAACGATTTCTTAGTTCTATATACATAAACATCATTTATTGTTGTTGTTGTTGTAGCGGCTACAACACCCCCGCCCATACCGGTTAGTCCCTCAATCGCTGTCGACAAGGTCTACTAACGGGAGCCCAAGAAGCGTGCAGCTTCGATAGGGTCTGTCCAGGGGCGCACCCAGGAATATATTTTAGGGGGGGTTTATATTTCTGAAGATATATCACCGGAAAATACTGAAAATTTTCTTCAGATAATACGCTCTTTAAAATATATTTATGCAAGTTTTATGTACAGTATGTAAAAAATAAATAAACGTTTTAAAATTCATAAACTGCACTTTATTTACATAAGATTAAACTCAAACACTTTTAACCGACTTTAAAAAAAGGGGAGGTTATCAATTCGCCGGAATACGTAACTTTGGACCACGTGAACCGATTTCAATAATCATTTTTTTGTAGAAAGGTGGTACCTCAAGGTTCGTCCCGTAATTTGGTTTAGAGATCCGATGATTGGATCATGAAGAAATTAACGGTACCCCTAAATTTGAATATACAAATTGAAGTCGGTTGTGTTCTTTCCTTAAAAACTACTTGTTTAATAAAAAGTGCTATAAACTCAAGATGCGCTCAACTTTCAAAAGTACCTAAGAAAAAATATTAAAAAAGACTCAGTAAAAATAAATTTATTGATTCCATGAATTTTTGCACTTTTATGTTCCTTTTTTCGATTTCTGGTTTCTGGCTTTCGATAGAGATGGTGATTTTTCACGATTTCTAATTTTTTTTAATATTTCGAATACCGAAAAAATTAACTGAACTCTCAAGAAAAACCAAAAATTCATATAAAACGACGGACGAGAAATGAAAAAGAAATTTTCTTCTACCAAAATTTCTTAAATCAGTTTGCAGCTTTCAAGAAAAAAAAATGCTCGTATATTCATTTCCTCATGAAAATTTACAGCAAAAGCAACGAGCTTTTTCAGAAATTATAATAAATATTTCTTATAATTTCCTTGAGAGCTGGATTCTTAGCTTTAAGATACAGTTTGTATTTGAGGTTATTAGCTTTAGGGGGGTTTGAACCCCAAAACCCACCCCTTGTGTGCGCTAATGGGTCTGTCCATAAGGACAAAGGCGTTAGTAGAGTGGGATTCAGTGGGCATGCGAAGAGATGTCTCGAGTCGTGGGGTGTCTCTCAGCATGCCGGGCATTCGTTGGCACACCTGCGTTTACTCTGCTCAGGTACGAGTTTAGCCTACTGCAGTAGCCCGAGCGAGGTTGGGCTATCGGGGTCCGAGTCTCCCGAGGCAGACGAAGCTCTGTCTCGTCCACGTCTGGTGGTTGTGTGCACAGAACGGCATTCACAGGTCGAGGGTCTATATAACTGGAGACTTACTCCCTGTTAATGCCATTAAAGACCTGTGTATGCTGTCGGGTCCAGTGGTGGCTTTATGAAGTGTCTGTTCGGGTGCCCACGTCGGTGACATTCTACTAAGAATTGCTTGCAGAGCATTGTGTTTTGCTCTTTAATATGAGCCTCGTAGTGTTGCGGCGACATGACAAGGCATCCTTTCGCAGTCCGGAGTGTGTTGGCTCGTCTGTAGCTTCATCCACTGCGTCCTACTTGTCCCCGACAACCACACACGCGCTGCATAGTTCAGAACCGGCCGGCTAATGTTGCGTCTTTGTACTTTATTGACAATTGTGGTTGTATGCGCCGAGAAGACGAGCAGACTGTCGAAGGTTAGTCCGAAGATTTTCGGGTTATTCACCGCCGGGATTAGTTCGTCATTGACGTGAATACCCAGTTGCAGTCTGACCTCCTTCGTCCTGGTGGTGAAAAGTGTTGCTGAGGATTTTGTAGGGGAGAGGTTTACGCTCCGTGCAGTGAAGAAGCGAGAAAGGTCGTAGAGATAACCGTTTACTTTCGAGCATAAGTCATCAATTCCCTTCCCAGACGCCATTATCCAGCAATTGTCAGCATAAGAGACTATCGAGACGCCCTCTGGTGGTTGAGGGAGCTCAGAAATATAAAAGTAGTGGTAAACGACACCACCTTGGGGGTCCTGTTTTATCTTCCTGGGTTTTCTCGATTTTTCTCTAAAAATTACTGACGAGTGTAGACCACTCAGATAATTCGCCGACCACCGTTTGAATCCCTGTGGGAGAGAGGACGCCTGTTTGTCTTCTAGTTGCGTGGAGTGATTGACGGTGTCAAACACATTGGACAGGTTGAACGCTACTAGAACTATTCTCTCACAGCGGCAAGTTCGGTTAAGGCCACAAGTTGTCTGGGTGTTTATAGTGTCCAATGTTGTGTTGGGCCTCTAGTGTCTTTGCTACTGGGGAAAGGAGAGTAGTCGGACGATAGGACTCTCCTTGGTTGGACGGTCTCCCCGGTTTAAGCAGTGAAGCCACTTCCCCCATTTTCCAGATTTTTCAGAATTAGCATGCAAATTCCGTCTGGTCCAAAGGCCTTGGAGGCTTTCGTTTTCCCGATGGCTACCCTCACTTCACCGCTGGTGAAAGCAAGAGGTGCACTGGGTGATGGCAGTTTGTGTAGCCTTCTGGTCACTCGACGCTTGGCTTTGTCCGACGGAGGATGCATTGTGAACTGTCGGCTAAAATAGCTCGCGCATCGCTCCGGATCCGACGAGGCGCAGTCGCCGAAAGAGATTTCGACTATGTCGCCCCGCTTCGTCGGATTGGACAGTGACCTCACAGTTAACCAAAGCTTGCTCACACCAAAGGCGAAGTTACAACTTATTGGGATGTGGGGTGTAAGTGAGGTGTGTTGCCTGCCCGCCACTTGCTGTGTGTGCTGTTGTAAAGACTGCTGCCCTGTGGTGGTGGTGAACGGCGTCGCAGTCATCGTTCAATCACGGGTGAGGCGCAGTCCTGAACATGTTCTAAAAAGACACCAGCCAAGGAAAGTATTGCTCACGTTACGGAACATCCTGGTCTGTTACACCGAGCAGATTGTCGGAGGAACAGGGAGTTATTGGCGACTGCTTGAGGGTGGTGGTACGGTTGTCTCTGTTGTGTGGTCTGTGGTGTTGTCTATTATGTTCTTAGCAAAAAATGATATAAGCAGTTGTAAGAAATAAGGAACATACTAGCGGCGCTGCTTGCAGCGTTTATTTTATATGATCTATAAGGTAATTATAATCCATGTGCTGCCTTATTATAAGGAAATATTTAAGCCTTTTTTATATGACGTATAAGACTTAGGCATAAGGGTGTCGCTCAGAGAGGGACAGCAAACCTTATGAACTGATGACATAAACACAGCGAAATGTGGTGTTGATTCAAACTCAACATTTGAAAGCACATTTACATGTATGGCCGTAGCTGAGTGTGCAAAGATGCTTGATATAATTGGTTGCTACCAAGACTGTCAGGATTCAATTCCCATCAGACGGAACATAAATTTTAAGATTTTATCAGCCTTATTAGCTGTTAAGTTTGTTGTGATCGTTATTGTCACAACTCAAAGAAAAGTTAGTTTCTTCTCTGTGCTACTGTAATCACTTTTTTCTGCTATATTAAGCAATGTAGGTATATATTATGGTTATTAATGGTTTATTAAAAATACCTTTACAAACCTCTTTTCCTTGGTAGCGGATAATCTGCTTATATGTAAACCTAGTATAAGGCCTTATTATAAGGGATTTGGTAAGTCTTATGTAAGGACTTTAAGCCTTATAATAAGGTAACTATACTCCATACAATCCATTATTATGAGCCTTTTTTATATTTACTGTAAGACTTAGGCATAGGGGTGTCTCTCTGAGAAAGAGAGCAAACCTTATGACCTGATAACATACACAGGGCGAAATCGGGTGTGGAATAAGGAATGTTTCATACAACAGACTTTCCTTACAGATTTCAGGCCATTAAATTATAAACCTTATGATCATATAAAATAAGCTTTATATAAGGCGCAAATTTTTTTTGAGGGTTGTACTGTGGTGCGGTAGTGTTTGTGTTGAGCTGCTCAGGCGGACTCTGGTGTGTCGTGAAGGCAGCTCGGTTGGAGCAGCAAGGGTCCACGTATGAAGTGGTCCATTGCCTGTGGGCCGTGAGGCCTGAGCAAACTCGGAGATGACTCCACCCGTTAAAGGAGTTGCACTTGACGGAGGTGGAGTTATGGTGTAGTCGTCTCTGGCACACACAGCAGGTGAGGGTTTGTGGCCCAGGGTTTGACTTGATGCCAGCCTGAGCAGAGGTATGCGAAGCAGATGTAGCCGTGTGGACAGGATGCATGTGACTGGTGGGACACTGGAAAGAACTCTATTTTACCTTTGTACTCAAAGATGAATTTTAACCAAAACACTTAATTTTCGGGAAAGATGTTTTTCTGTTGAAAAATATGAGCTATGTAAATATGTATATGTTTTCGTTTTCAATAAAATTTAGGAAGATATTGGGCCTTATGCATAAAAAGTGAGCTTAAGCTCAGACTCAATTTTTGCACTGAAGGGGTGAGCTCAAGCTCAAGAATTTGTACTGAAAATCGAGTCGGAGCTTAAGCTCACTTTTTATGCATGAGGCCCATTGTCTTCATAGAAATATTAAAGCATATTTAAAGCTGTGACTGGTGTAATGGAATTATGTATGAAATAAAAGTTTCCATAGTTTTTGATATTTTTCAACCGATCAATGAAATGTAGTCATTTCGAAAGAGGTTATTACTGAAATAGTAATAATTTTGGCACTTTAAAATGTATGCTGTTTTTCTATTTCAAATGGAATTACACCCTGTTGTCATGGCCCGGTATACTTTACCCATTGCGTTGTGTTAAGGAATTTAGCTTGTTTGTTATTTTTTAATTTTATTAAACACATTTATATTAAATAATCAATTTATTTTTTTCTGTTAGTCTATTTCCAGCGATATTTGGTGGTATTATATGATATCAATGTCATTTTATTGGTCTCTTACTGTAACACAATTTATTGACGTCAAGCGAAAGGATTTTTGGCAGATGTTTGTCCATCATATGGTTACCTTGCTTCTCATGTCGTTAAGTTGGGTGTGTAATTTACACCGCGTTGGCTCCTTGGTTCTCGTGGCACATGATTGTGCAGACATATTTTTAGAGGTATGTAAATGTAAAATATTCACCGACAGTACGAATTTAATGTAAGCAAGTTATGTAATTTTGTGATAAAATCCCAAAAATTAAAATTTCGAGTTATTTTTCTCTATTTATTGTACTTTCAAAATAGGTACGCATTCTAGCACCCCTAATGCTGGACTTCCACCGACCATTTAATGAGAAAATACAGCCCCACAAAAAATATGTGTGTAGTTTTGACAGGAACACCTTACCCCGATGTTTTTGGTGCCATGAACACGAATCTGAAGTCGGTTATGCTCCATTACATCAGGACTTTTTCCTGACGCCAAAAACATGGCGTATATTATTGCAAAATTTTTTAGGTTAGTAAAAAATCCTGCGCGATGGAGCAAATGGAGATTCGTGTTCAGGGCACCAAAACCCATGGGGAGTATTCCTGTCAAAATGACATGATATTTTTTTGGGGCTGTGTAATAGTCGCTGAACGCTAAGCTCGCTAAACAATGGATGTACCATTATGAGATTTCGATTTGATATCAACGGCTTATCACTTTAAGTTTTAGCTGGGATAAAAGTGTAAAAAATAATTTTAAACAGTTTTTAGTATTATCTGATTTTTATTGTTTCGATCAAAAATGGTGATTATTTTATGATATATTTTTGCTCGATAATATATATCATTGATTTATATTTTTCCACTTAAATATAATGATTATTCATAAATATATATGCACGATTTTGATCTGAGGATGTTGAGGGTTGTCCCTTTTATTATGGCGTCGTTCTCTATGATAATAAATTGGAAATCAAGTCAGGTTACTTTTTGAGTTTTTTTTTATTATTTTTAAGTGAAAAAATTAAGCTTGATAATAATCACTATTTTTGGTGAAAAAAAATAAGAATTGAAAGTAACACTGTACGGCAAAAACAACTTTTTTTTGGGGTATTGGACCAAACCATTTTTTTTTAAGAGATTGACTCATAAGTAAAAAAGTAATTTCTCTGTTTTTCGAAGGTAACCTCCGAAACCTAGATTTGGGCCTTCGAAGCTCGAAATTGGACCTTTGGTAAAAAATTATTTTTATTATTGTATGTAAACAACTAAAAAAGTAAAAATATAGATGTATTCCGGCTTTTGCTCTTATTTAAACGGTATGTAAGTTTTTGGTGCAAACTTATATTACAGGTGCTATACGGGGTCAAAGGTCAGATCTTCGAAAAATTAAAACGATTTATATTTCAAAACATTTTGAACAGAAAAAAAGTTATATACCGTTTAAGTAAGCGCAAAAGCCGGAACAGGTCTATATTTTTACTTTTTTAGTTGTTTACATACAATAATTAAAAATAATTTTTTACCAAAGGTCCAATTTCGAACTTCGAAGGCCCATATCTAGGGCTGCCAGACGTCCCGGTTTTCCCGGACATGTCCCGGTTTTAGACTTTGTCCCGGTGTCCCGGGTTTCATTTAAATGTCCCGGTTTTCGATTTGATTGCACAAATTTGAATAAAAGTTCAAAAGTAACCAAAATTTTATGAATTCACTGAGGGAAATAACGTATAGTAAACATGAATATTTTTATTTGATTATCGTTCTAAAATGTTCGTATTTAAAAACAACGCTTTAATACCACGCACGCGTGGTGTTGATTCAAACTCAGCATTTGAATGCACATTTACTTGTCTGGCTGTAGATGAGTGCGGAAAGATACTTGCCACAATTTGTTAATTTCCAGAGGGTCAGGGTTCAAATCCCATTACAGGCACCATGGAATTTAAATATATATTTTTTAACTTAATTATGAAAAAGCTTCCGTTTGAATTTAATATTTCTAGACTGAATAATAAAATGTGTATACCTAAATGTATTACGAGTTGGGTTGGTGCTCTTTCATATGCGTACTTTTTTAAATTTAGCACGTTTTCTTAATTCTAAACTTCTTTCTCTCAGTGCACCGGTTTCATTTGTAAAATAGTTACATCTTCAGATAGTTGAACTTTGCACAAGCAATACTTGATGATTGATATACATATGTACCTAAATACGTTAAAAATGACGTGCACAGAGTTTTACAATTATATTAAGGAAAAGTCAGAAGTTTTGAAACAAGTCCACAGCAACGAAAAATTTGACTGATATTTTAATGTTATCTTGTACTCAAATTCACATTTTCTCTCAAAATCACAATTTCTAATCAGATCTGTTAGACAAATTTTGAAAATACATATACCTTTTGTACCAATTAATAAAGTGCAAGTCTGAAGTTGCCAGAAAGTTTCGTTGATTTTTATGCCATTTTTTTTGCTGACAGTGTCTTCCATATAAAAAGAATTGTCGAACATAGTTTGTATGGAGAAACTCTTAGTAAAAACAATACCAAAAATCAACTAAAATTTAATGGGCTGCAAAACTTCATTTTTTAAATTTTTACAAAAAGTCTAATTAAAAAGTTGCAAATTTGTATGCAAATTTATTGAATATCTTGAGTTTTGTTTTTTGATGTATTTAGTATAATTTTTTTTATAAAGAATAAAAAAAATTGTGAAAAATTCTCTGTGCTTTAGTTGTGGTAAGTTGTTTTGTTACTACATCTTTTCGTACGTTATTTTTGTCCAAACGAAATGGAAGGGAGCGAGAGGCCTCCCCCTAAAGTGTCCCGGTTTGGCAACAGAGATATCTGGATATCCCTATCTCGATTTCGGAGGCTAAATTCGAAAAAAGGAGAAACTAATTATGATTCAATCTCTTAAAAAAGTTGGTTTTGACAAATACCCAGCGAAGCTGTGTACAGTGCAATAATCAATCGTCAGTAAAAATCAAGTAATAAAAACATTTGCAAAGAAATAAAACTCAAAAATTAATTATTATACACATGTAAACTACTTTTACTTAATTTCTAGTTAGTATTTAGTTCTAAGATATAACTCTAGTCGAACACACCAAGTAGATGGTGTAGTGTGTTCGGGGCATTATGTACATAGTATAACAGTTAAGATGACACTTGTGAAGAGAAACGATTAGAAACAAAGAAACGAAGTAAATACAAAAAGTTAAGCGGCAAATCATTGTGCTGAGGAAAATTAATAAATTACAAATTATAAGCTTTAAATGTCGTTTCTCTTTATAGGTAAATAATTTAAGTAAACTATTGTGATAAGAATCAATATTAAATAATATAAACACTCTTTATAGAGAAACCCAATTGAGTTTATACATTTGTTGCTGTGTTAGGCGGATCGAGTTAAACAAACATTACAAAACGACATTTTTGCTAACATTTGAAGAATGGAGAAGCTTAAATTCGAATTTTTGGTAAAATCTGCTGAGGACGGAAAAACGAATATAATGGCGATAACCACAATCACCACAAGTGATGATAGAGTTTTTAAAATACCAGCAGAAATGCAGCCAGCAAGTTTACATGAACAATTAATAAATACACCAACTTATACAAAAATAAAAAACACATTAAAAAGGAGACACCAAACAAGAAAAGTATGGATAAATGTAACGGAAGATTTAGCCGAAATTTATATGGATGATGATGGAAATATGCAGTTCAAAGATTACTTTCTTGAAGAGATACCGCCAACAAATCCCACTGCAGGTATTTCAGAGGAGTCACTGTCGAAAGTTTTAGAGAAGCTGAGTGCAGATGAATACCCTAATTTAAAGAAAATTGCTGAAAAATTTGTGCTAGAAAAATTCTCAGCCAAAAACTCAAATGCTAACCAATGGATGACCATATTTGAAAGTGAGTGCGACCGCTTTGACATATGTAAAGATGAGGAGAAAATCGAAGTCTTGAGACTTTTCTTAGAAAAATCATGCTTGGATTGGTACAGCTCTATGCTTATTAAATTATCGTTAGCTTCTGAATGGGGAAAGTGGAAAGAAAACTTTTGTGGCACCTATGCAAATAAAGGATGGGCTGCGAGCAGATATGCAATCTCATTCAGATATAAAACAGGTTCACTTTTGGATTATGCTTTGAAGAAAGAAAGACTTTTATTAGAAATAAGAAAATCAATTGACACAGGGACATTAATTGATCTTATTGCAGAAGTGTTACCACATTATATAGCCGACAGAATAGATAGAGAAAAAGTAGTTAATACAGAAGAACTTTACAGTGAGATTAGAAAACTTGAACATTTAGTATCCAGAAAAACTATAGATAGAAAGAACGTATCAGCTTCTTATTCGAAAGAAAAAGAAGCATTTGAAAAGAAAAAACCATGCAAAATCTGCGAAAAAGAAAACAGAGGTACTCGTTATCATACAGAAGCTACATGCTGGTTTAAAAATCAAAAAAGTGAAAAAGAGATAAAACATGTTAATAATAATGAATTGGAATGGGAATTAAATGATATGGATCCAAAAAACTTGTAGTGCCACCATTGATCAAAGTTAAATTATTAATAAATGGAATTATTGAAGTATATGGAATTTACGATTCTGGTTCGAATGTATCTTTAATAAATTCGCGTTTATTACGCTTTAAACCAAAAAATAAAGATTTTTATACTGCAAATTTGAAAACGATCAATGGTACAAAAAAGGCTGAGGGAATGATAACTATTAAAACTAAAATTTTTGACATTGAAAAAGAAATACAGGTTTTTGTAGTAAACGAAAAAAATTTTAGCTACGATTTTCTGATTGGATTAGATTGCATAAAATCATTCAAATTAATACAAAATGAAAACCTAATTATATCCCAAAAATGTACACCTTGTAGAAGCAAACTCTCAGAACTACCTTCGAAGTCGAGAAATGAAAATTTAAATATAAGTAATTTCTATAGATTTCACCGTCATGATAATCATAATGAATGCGAATTAAATTTCAACGAACATTTCGATACAGATAATTGCGACATTTCGGTTCAACATTTAGACGTTACAGAAAAGTCAGAAATAAGTAAACTAATAGAAAAATATAAAACTTTATTCGCTAAAGATAAATATGACATCGGTACGGTAAAAGATTACGAGGCACGTATAGATCTACTAATAGATAGGTATTGTAGTAAAAGACCATATAGATGCACGATTGAGGATAAGAAAGAAATAGAAACACAAATTTCAAAATTATTGGAGAAGAATCTGATAGAAGAGTCGTATAGTCCATTTGCGGCTCCGGTAACATTGGCTTTTAAAAGAGAAGAAAATAGGAGAACAAGATTATGCATAGACTTTCGCGATTTGAATAAAATTGTAGTTCCACAATCACAACCATTCCCATTAATTGAAGACTTGGTAGATAAAACACGAAACTGTAAATTTTTCTCAACGCTTGATATAAACTCAGCGTTTTGGTCAATTCCATTAAGAATCGAGGACAGACATAAAACAGCTTTCGTAACACAAGAAGGACATTTTCAATGGACGTGTTTGCTCTTTGGCTTGAAAACATCGCCAGCAATTTTCCAAAGAATTTTAAGTAACATAATAAGAAAACATAAGCTTAGTGAATTCGCGGTTAATTACATAGACGACATTTTGATTTTCTCAAAATCTTTCGCAGAACATATGTCACATTTGTCATTATTGCTTGAAGCAATATCGAAAGAAGGCTTCAGATTAAAACTATCGAAATGCACTTTCGCAGCAGATTCAGTTAAATATTTAGGTCATATCATCAAAGGGAATTCAATTAGCCCCTTAAAAGATAATTTGATATCAATAAGAGATTTCCCAACACCAAAAACAAGAAAAAATGTAAGACAGTTTTTAGGGAAAATAAATTTTTACAATAAATACATACCAAATATTTCCATAACACTGGACCCTTTGCATAACCTTCTCAGAAAAGATCAAAATTTTGTGTGGTCGGAAAAATGTCAAAAATCATTTGAAGAGATGAAAATACTACTTTGTTCTCAGCCTGTTCTAGCAATTTTTGATCCAAAGTTACCAATACATATATATACCGACGCAAGTCTGCTAGGAATCGGAGCCGTTTTAAAACAACCCCAAGAAAATAATGAAGAAAAGCCGGTGGCCTATTTTTCCAAGAAACTTAATGAAGTACAAAAAAGAAAAAAAGCTATTTACTTGGAATGCCTTGCAATAAAAGAGGCAGTAAAATACTGGCAACATCGGCTTATAGGGAGAAAGTTCATAGTTTTCACGGACCATAAACCCTTAGAAAAAATGAATGTAAGAGCTAGAACAGATGAAGAGCTAGGAGATTTAACATACTACCTGTCACAATATGATCTTGAGATCAGATATTCTCCAGGAAAATATAACCTAGAAGCAGATTGCTTAAGTAGAAATCCGGTGTTAGAGTCACACGAAAATAATGACGAAGAATTAAAGGTTGTAAATTTAGTTACACTAGATGCCATACAAAAAGATCAAGAAAAAAATTTTGAATTACGACATAAAAACCACATCAACTTCAAAAACAATACCAATTACCAAAAAGTCGGAAAACAAGAAAAAATTGTACTGTCTGAACCATTTAGCATAAGATTAATAAAAAGTACGCATGAATATTATTGCCATATAGGTACAAAACAAACGCAGGATAAGATCAGACCATTCTATACAGCAAGAAATTTAACAAAAAATATAAAGAAAATTTGTGATAGTTGTGCAATATGCATAAAGAACAAATCAAGAGGACAAAAGAAGTACGGGCAGTTGTCTCAATTAGGTCCTGCCACTACTCCGTTCGAGATCGTTTCCATAGACACAATAGGTGGATTTGGGGGTTCACGATCAACAAAAAAATATTACTATATTGTTATTGTAAGTGTATTGTTAGTGTAAAATAAATATAATAATAAATTACAAATTATAAGCTTTAAATGTCGTTTCTCTTTATAGGTAAATAATTTAAGTAAACTATTGTGATAAGAATCAATATTAAATAATATAAACACTCTTTATAGAGAAACCCAATTGAGTTTATACATTTGTTGCTGTGTTAGGCGGATCGAGTTAAACAAACATTACACACATTTTAATTTTTTTTGGTTAAACTCGAAAAATATAAATCTTTGAATTTTACAACAGAATATACATATGTACATACATATAAAGAAAAGCATGTGTGGGCAATCGGGCGACGCACAGTGGTTGCTGCCATAGGTCAAAATTAAAAAAATGTATGTAAAAATTTTTACACCAAAATAAGCTTTGCAATCAGTTTTTTGTCCAAACTTCGTGTTGTCATATATTTTTTGCAGAGAGCTGCATGGATACACCCAAAATACATTTTAAGTCACTCGCTTTCTTTTCACATCTTCACACACTCGCACTCATTTATTTCCAAACATAACGTGCGATAGCATTGAAAAAACATTGTCAATTGAGTGAGTAATTCACACTATCAAGTGCTCGATTCAAATAGCAAGTGCTTGATTGGAAAAACAAGTGCATGCCATAACTGCTGTAATGAAAGTATCAAAGAAAAACAATTTGTAAAGACAATATTTGTTAATTTTATTGGTTTTCTAACTGCGTATTATAATGCAAAAATATGAACTGATTAAGGGCATCATCATTTGACAAAAGGTGGCATCTTTAGTCAGAAATAACATTTCCAGCAGAAGAAAAAACTCTTTCTGACGATGCGCTAGCTGAAGAAGTGGCTATTACTCTACGACTGAGTTTATGCAGCAGCGGCATTTCGTTATGTGTACCTCCCACCAATTAATTATATCGAAGTCCGTGTGAAAATATACCTCAATATTTTCATATCGCCGCAGCTCTGCAGTAGCTTTATCAGTTCTGCTCACAAAGGTAGGTTGTTTAAGAAGACCTGAAAACAGCTCAAAGTTGTCTGAAGGTAACAAAGGTGTATACGCAATTTGTGGTTCCGTTGTACTGTCAGAATTCTCAGTTAACGTTCTCATAATTTGTAAACATTTCTCTTTTGTGTACCTTTGCTCAGATTCGGTAAAGTTCTTGAGCTCTTTTGCTGGCGGGTATAAAAAAGCGCAATTTTGTGCAAATCTGTTAAGTTTTCAACAGCAACTGGTTTTAAATAATAAAGCAACCTATTTTTCAAGTCTCTTATAAAGCCGATGTCTTCTGAGGTAACAGTGCATTTCTTTTGTAAACTAGTTATATAAATGTACGTCAGGAGGATAATTAAATAATTTACCAAAACTAATATATTTAAAAAAATACTTCATCAATATCCATTTTTTTTTTCAAAATTGTCGTATTCTCTACTAATTGTTTGAAGTCAATGAGTGTCATTCGATTGCTCGACTTGCTTTTCATAACAGCGTTTTTCACTCGCATGACTTGGTTTGGAAAGAGTATATCAATGCCATATTTGAAATCAAATGAGTACACTGCAGCTAAACATTGATTTCAAAACTAACTATGTCTCACTGTTTGTACGGTGTTTCTCACTACCCGTATACAGTTCACAGCAATGAGTTCATACTATTTAGATGGAAGTGAGTAAACTCATGCTGTTGTCTGATTTTGTTTTCATTCTAACGGTTGTTTCTGAAAAAAGCAACAAAAGTGTCATCAATTGTTCATTTTATTTGTACAGCGTCAGCACGCTGAAAATTGAATTGGATTTAACGTAATTAAAATATTGTGAAAAGCCGAGTGAGTTAAAATTATATGCAATGGTATGTTTGTACATAAAGGTATTGACTTTATTTCTACAATTAAACTTTTAAATAATTCGTGTTGCGTTCTTGCAATCGTTGTTTTAGAAAAGTAGGATTTTGTGTGTTTCTTGGTTCATCTTTCAAGTATTTAGGCAATTTTTTAAGTGTGTTTCCCCCATCGGCCCTCAATATTTTTATTTACATATTGTTTGTTAATATTTTGAGATTATAAAAGTGTTCAGTGTAGATGCATTGACCTGCAGAGGCTCGCGTAGTATTCCATAACCTAATCCAAGCTCTTTATTTTCTACAGTAGTTTTCATATTTATTTTTTGATTTATCTAATTCAAAATGTTTCTAGGCAAAAGATAACACTGCGAATTTTCTCGATTGCATGTTTTTGAGATTTGGCGTGAAAATTTCCGTACGCATTCCCAACAAGTTCAAAATTTGCTGGGTGCAATAGCGAAGGATATTGAATATGAGGGTTTTGAGCCAGATCGGTATGAGTTGCAAAAATGTATTAATTACGTTTGTAAAAATTTTCATTGTTTTGGCAAAGATCCAAAAGCCAAAAATCAGCAGTTTTGAAAAATCATTATAATTGGCTCGAAAAGAAAGAAATCATTTCATGAAAATGCCAACCAACAGTTTCCACCAATTGAAATCCGCCCGAAAATAGATTTTGTTGAGTCTTCAAAAAGACTAAGCGTCGACGAACATATCGGGATAAAATGTTTACTCTAAGGTCTGTTAAGAGTAAAAACTGTAATATGTAAAGGTGGGC